TGAACTCAAGTCGGAAATCTCTAATAATGCAAATCCAACAAATATTTGTAGTAACGAGATTGTCCATGTTGTTTTCACATTCCGACTTAAAAGCACTACTCTGGAAATGAGAGCATCCGAGGAGCGCGTGAATGCGGTAATTACACTTGCTCTGATGGCAGCAGGTAGCCTTCCGTTAACTAAGCTAAACATGCTTAAATTAAAATGCCTAAAGCTAAACTTCCCTTGTATTCACATTTCTAAACCTGTTGTCCAACAAAAGAGAACATTATAACCTTTTTACTCCACAACACCAGTCAAATGCTTCCTTTTGTGATCTGATGAGGCTTCTTGTCACAGAATGAGGCAGAAAATATGTTCCATATGCTACTTTAAAAAGAATACATCGATTAGCAATAGATTATAAATTAGGGTGACCATACATCCTCTTTTCGCCGGACATGTCCTCTTTTTGGACCTACAAAAATGCGTCTGGCCGGGATTTCTTAATTGCCCAAAATGTCCGGGATTCGGCTGTTTTCTTAATCCCGCACCAGCTGAATCTCTGACCATTGCCGCCTGGTCCCGCAACATGTGTTTCGCTCCTGCGATTTTCGTGTCCACTCCTTTAAACATTCTAATATTTTGTATAATTTTGGCGCATCAGGGAGCCACTCTCAGGATGCGGTGTGTTTAAATATTTTTGAATGAGCGTTTGCGCTGTTTACTTTCACATTCGATTTCGAGTTCACACGCACTCTGTGTAAAGGGAGCACATCTTACAAGATCAGATATTTGTCAATGAGCTCAGGATCTGTTGAGCGTATACTCCAGGATGGTCTTGTCAGTCATCTCTCCTTATTCTCGACCTGTGATCAGTCAAATCTGACTCCTGCAGCTCTTGTTGGATGCAGGGTTGCCAAGTCCGCGTTTTTTCCACAGAATTGGGCTACTTTAACTGTTTTTAATTTAATTTAAACTGGAATTTAAACTGTTGCCATAGGTTGATTTTCCCAAGTGGTTTAAAGGTTTGAAATATTGCATAAATTACATTTGACTGAAATGCTTGTATTGAAACATTTTGCATTCTACCTATGATAAAACTTTCATGGACTTCTACATTAACTGTTCCCTCCTGGTGGAATGACCTGCCCAGCTCAATCCAAGCAGCTGATTCCTTAATATTTTCAAGAAACGGCTGAAAACACATCTCTTTCATCTTCATTTGACACTCTAACACTCTCTATTCTAATGCTACTTCTAATTTTATCTGCTTGTTTTTTTTTCATTAAAAAACTTGACCCTCTAACATTTGCACTCTCTATTCTATTTCTATTCTAATGGCCAATCCATCATTTTTGGGGGGAATTTTTATTTATTTATTTTAGTCTACAAAAATAGTTTCGGTTTAGGCACCGTTTAGACACCGGAACCGTTTTAAAAGTATCGATTTGGCACCGGTATCGAAAAAAAACCAAACGATACCCAACCCTAGGTGCACCACAATTTGACAATGGATGAATCCAGGTTCTGTTGTTGCAGGTAGTTGTTCTGCATGCTGCCCCTGCACGTTAAAATAAACCCATGAAAAATATTTGTTTCTATTTTTAATAGGTCTCATTGTCACTTGGCCATTCTATTTTTATTAAATACTAATTTAATATTCTAATCTTATCAGTTAGCGGTTAATGTTCGGATAACGAGCATAAAATTAACCTAAATGAGCATCCATAGTTCATAGCAGTATTCCTCACTGTGTCTAACCTGCGTCTCAGGGGCGATCGACTTCGTCTTCTGGGTGAGGAGCGAGACTGTCGCCGTGGTGATACAGACCAACGTCTGAGTGGTGAGCGACTCACTCTGTGCCGCGCTGGACTCGTTTCCCATGATCTCCCAGCTCCATCCACACGAGGATGCTTCCTAAGAGACATGAAGCATTTGCCAGATAAATTATTTCATCCTAGGCCATTTTTGTAACCAACAATTATAAGCATATGTATAGAACAACAATTCACCTTAAATAGTCCAATCTTACAGTCAACTATTTTGATGCCAAGCAGTTTATCACACAGGAAACCTGTTGCACTCAGGTACATTAAGCTCCACCTATCATTATAAACGCCCTGCAACCTATTAAGATGATAACTTACAAGTAATAAAAAAAGGCAAGACAAGCATATGACCCTACAATCTTAGAATTGTAATTTAGGACCAGGCTGTTTCAAGACATAATAGACCAAGCAATATAAATGAAAGCAAATGTTAGGTTCCTTCAATGGCACAATCAGGGCAATTCCCATTGAGCGGGTAGTTCTTTAACTTGATATCTAAAAACAGCTCTGATCCTCTCAGTGTCACTCCAGCCAACAAACACGAAAACCCCTAGAGCTAAAAAAACAACAACTCTGATCTCTGACTGTACGTTTGCAACCATCCCATTCAGTCAAGACAAGAACTATGAAAATATAACTGTCACCTTCTAGCCTTTTCAAATGACTTCACTGCAATCACTCAAACTATGCTCTGCTGTATCCAGTTGACCTGTGTCATATTCTTGTGTATGTTTAATTTCTTTATTCTTTATACAAACAGTGTAACAAATATAACACTGTAACAACCCCCCCCCCGACTACATCAGGATTATAGAATCAAGAAGTTCTCAAATATTAATCATATTTATTAATAATAATAATTCCTCACATTTATATAGCGCTTTTCTGGGCACTCAAAGCGCTTTACATAGAAAGGGGGAATCTCCTCAACCACCACCAGTGTGCAGCATCCACCTGGATGATGCGACGGCAGCCATATTGCGCCAGAACGCCCACCACACACCAGCTCATTGGTGGAGAGGAGACAGAGTGATGAAGCCAATCAGCAGTTATGGGGATGGTTAGGAGGCCATGATGGTCAGAGGTCAATGGGCGAATTTGGCCAGGATGCCGGGGTTACACCCCTACTCTTTTTCGAGGGACATCCTGGGATTTTTAATGACCACAGAGAGTCAGGACCTCGGTTTAACGTCTCATCCGAAAGACGGTGCTTTTTGACATAATAGTGTCCCAATCACTACACTGGGGCGTTAGGACCCACACAGACCACAGGGTGAGCACCCCCTGCTGGCCTCACTAACACCTCTTCCAACAGCAACCTAGTTTTCCCAGGAGGTCTCCCATCCAGGTACTGACCAGGCTCAACCCTGCTTAGCTTCAGTGGGCAACCAGTCTTGGGCTGCAGGGTGATATTAATATAAATCATATTTAACAAAAAACTAAAAATCAAGTAAATTTTAATATTGACTCATTTTCAAAGTATTTTAATAGTATTTGCACTTTCTAATTTCATAATTCCATTAAAAATATAAATTTAACTGCTGTATGTGTATCTTTTTATTATATATACAGTGGGTACGGAAAGTATTCAGACCCCCTTAAATTTTTCACTCTTTGTTATATTGCAGCCATTTGCTAAAATAATTTAAGTTATTTTTTTTTCCTCGTTAATGTACACACAGCACCCCATATTGACAGAAAAACACAGAATTGTTGACATCTTTGCAGATTTATTAAAAAAGAAATGTTTTTAATTTCTGTGCCACTAGTGTCACCAAAAATAACCTCAATAATGTCTGTTTACAAACAAGTTTCCCAAACACTTCTCATCTGCTACTAGCTAACCAAAAAATAGCCCCGCCCCAAACTCACATCACTGATCGCCTTGTTGCCATGTCAAACTAGTTGGGATGCTTAAAGGCTGCGGTGTCCAAACCTGTTCCTGGAGGACCACTGTCCTGCAGTTTTGCTCCAACCCTAATTAAACTTACCTGAACCAGCTAATCAAGGTCTTCAGACTCACTAGAAATTGCCATACAAGTGTGTCGGAGCCGGGTAAAGCTAAAGTTCAGGAGCACCCCTGCTTAAAGGGATAATTCACCCAAAAATGAAAATTCTGTTATAATTTTTTACCCTCATGTTATTCCAAACCTGTATGACTGACTTTTTTCTGTGGAACATAAAAGATGCTCCAAATAAAACTGGACCCTACAGACTTGTATGGACATTATTCAAAATATCTTTTGTATGCTACAGAAGAAAGTCATACAGGTTTGGAACAACATGAGGGTAAATGAATGATGACAAAATGTTCATTTTAAATCTTCAACGGTGTGCTGATGTGTACCTGGAGGGGGAATCTCTCCGGCGCTCATTTGAGCGACTTTGTCCTCCTCTCCTGACTGGTGACCTGTTTCTAGACGGCGAGTGGCTCAGTTTGGAACTCCGGTCTGCAGAACCCGATGGGGGCTGGTTGGGCTGGCGGTCCCTATGGCGAGGGGAGGAACTGCGTCGACGTTGATGAGGAGACCGATTCTCTTTCCCAGATGAGGTGTCTTTGGATGGAGACTTTCCAGGCTTCTTTTCTCTGTCCGTCTCCGAGCGACCCAGCCGGGCATCTTTAGAATGAGATCGTCGATCTCGTGACCGGCTCTTGCGTCCTCGTGAGTTTGATCTCTGTGTGACTTGTTCCCGCTTCTCATCTATATGGGGAGAGGAACGCCGATCCGAACGTCCCTTCTGGTCTGACTTTCTCTCCGCAGAGCGTCTTCTTGTAGACGGGGACTGGGATTTCCTCAAATGCTCCCTGGATTTGTCCCTGCTCCGGGAGCGTTTTTTCTCTTTGGACTTGCTACGCTCCTTAACAGTCTCTTTCACAATTTTGGTCATTCGTTCAAGCTTAGCATCCTTACCAACTCTCTCGAGAGAGCGGCTGCGCCGTTTAACGCTTGGTTTGCTGGTGTCCGTTGAGTCCCGTTTGGATCTAACCCCCCTGCTTATCTGGTCCCTAGGTGAGCGGGTTCTGCCCCCACTGGTTCTTTGCCGTTGCTCCCCATTACGTGCCCGCTGTTTCACTCCATCCTCTTCTGAGCCAGAATTGTAACCTTGTAGAATCAGGCCCATTCCTGATTGAACCTTCCCCTCCATCAGCTGGCTGTCCAGCTCAGCTTTAATCAGTGCTCTTTGTTTCTCCAGGTCTTCAAGAAGCGCCTTGTCATCCAGGGTTGCACTGCCCAGTGATGGAGAGCCATCCACAGCCCTCCTGTTGATGGCCCCAGATGGTGAGGAGGATGGCTCCTCTTTGCGTCTGTGCTTCTTATGTTTGTGTCTATGTTTCCGTTTGCGGTCCTTATCTTCCTCAGACGCATGTTTGTGTTTTTTGTGCTTGCTACGGTGCTTGTGTTTCTTTTTCTTGTGTTTGCTGCCACTGCTGTGGTGTTTGGAACCGCTGTCCTGCTTCTCTCCATTCACCTCCGCTTCTTCCTCAACCTCCTCTTCATCCTCTCCAGACATGTCACCATTTTCATCCTCATTCCCACTCTTCTCTGGCCTCTCTAAATCCTCTGGCCTGTAAAGATAAATGACACAAGCACATTAACATGTAGAACCAGTAAAACTTAATGTAAAAAGAAACAGGGGTTATATTTCAGTTTTTTTCCCCCTCATCACAGACATTTAAAAAAAAAAATTTTAATTTCGTTTTGCGCTTATTTAGGCAACAAATAACATGCAGAGGTTTTATGTTTTTTCAAGGCAACACGGTGTTCTTCACAAGGACACAAATACTGACCATACAACTCACCAACAAATTTATCTAGGTAGGTATGTTAATGTGCTTAGGGTCTATGATGACTAATTAGATTACTTTTATGATCTATTTGACATAGGAATTTTGTAATTTTGGATACATAATAGGGCTGTGCGATTAATCGAAATCGAATCGAAATCGCGATTTGAGACGTTGCGATATGGACGCGATATTACTCTGTTCCAGAGCATATGCATGACTGCCAGCCTTGAGTTGCAGTCTTACTAACCAATAGAGTGAGCGCACCTCCGTTCTCCCCAATCAGCACTGCTCTAGCCAACTGCGTAAACACCCACCATTTAAAAAAAAAAAGAAAAACAGAAAGCGGGAGAGAGACAGAG